CCCCCAAAACCCCAAAACCCCAAAACCCCAACTTGTACATTTTAATTGGAATATATTATAGAGATAAAACAAAACATGAAGCACCATAGTATTTTCAATATTTAAGCGGATTTAGGAAACTTTAGTTATGAAAATCATGTGGATAGTTCCAATAGAAATTATCCAAATCAAGAAGTTAATGGGTTCATCGAATCTATCAAAATAGTGAAGAGAAAATAAGCTATTAGCAAATAATTTATACCAAGTTTATTCAAAAATTGAAATTGCTTCTCCATACAAGAACAATTCTGATATCAAGAGATTATCATTTTCAAATCATGGAAGGGTAAATTCATCTTCCTTAGATATCAAAGTCTCAAAATCTAAGAAAAAGAAATAAAGGAAAACCACGAATGAAGAGTAATGCTAGTCTATCTCGAACAAAGACTGTAATCCTAACTAAAGAGAAGCCTGCTGAGCCTTCTTGTGATGACATGATTGATTCATCTCCTGAGTTCCAACTGTGCTCGATTAATCATAAAGATCCTCCAGAGAAAAATTTTGATTTTTTCCTTACTCAAGGTCCTAAAAAGTGTCTAAAAATGTTTAAGAACAAACATAGCCGGAAACTTGGGCCTAAAAGGTGCCTCAAAAATATGAAGAATTCAGCTTTTGTAAAGAACCCCAGAGCTAAGAAATTCTTTAATAAATAAAGTAAGAAGTCTGCTTTGAACTTATAGAGCGCTCTAATGACTAGGATGCAAGATAATTCCAAAAGCAAGAGCATCAGAAATGTGACTGAAAAACTCAGGTTCCTTGACCAAGCTAGCAGTGGGTATTTTGAACCCCAATATGACTCTATCTTCATGGATTACAATAATATGACATTGAGTGAGAATTCTTCAAGTGTGTTCAACCTGAAGCAGACCCAAGTCAAGCCAAGTGTGAGGCTTAAGAAGACCAAACCAAAGCAGCCCTTGTTAAAATTTTGGAATAACGCACTTTTAGAAAAAGTTTACTTAAAGAAGCAGAAGCCGATCAGAGCTAAATCAGCTTTGTTAAAAAGTAGAAAGGCAAAAGCATTTAATTGATAATCAAGCATTAAAATATTCTGATTTGCAAATGTTATTTAGAATAATAGTGAGAGATTTAGCAGAGGTTTGGACATATCTTTAAATAGAATAACATTTTTATATCTTTTGGCTGAGACGAATCAAGTTTAAATCATACTCTCAATCTTCTCATCTACCTTCTAATTTTTTAATTTTTTCAATCTTCCCTCTTAAATTTGGGGTTTTGGGGTTTTGGGGTTTTGGGGTTTTGGGGTTTTGGGG